AGCATGAGTGTAATGATGATATGAAAAAACATTTTTTCTTGTCACTATGATAATGAAATGATTAATACTTTTAAAAAAATCATTATTGTGTTCCTACTAATACAATATATTCAGCTCCTTATTGTTAGAACAAAGAGTCTAGGATGGATGCAAACTTCACAGATCATGTCAGCCTTTATTCAGGAACGGGACTACACCTACAGGAATGGACCCACTTTCCTGGTGGAAAATGAGCCCCAGAACAAAGGAAGGGACTGGGCTTATGTAGGTTATACTGAGAGGTGAATTAATTAATGAGTATGTCAGCTTGGGCACTCAGGAATTTGGGATCTCTTTTATTGGGCAAAATGGGAGGGAGTCTAGGGTCAGCAGTCAGTCTCTGGGACTTATCTTACTACACCTGATGGAGGCCCTGGGGTCAGTGGTTGGTATCTGAAAAGGATTAATGCTTTGTCCTCTTTCCAGAGACTGCCTTTCTAGGTTTGATGGACACCTCTTCCCCAGGGTTTGTTTTATCACCAGGAATGAAAGAATTGGGAAAGGATCAATGCTCTCAATGTATGGCTTTCCTTCTCACTCCCCTTTTCCCAGGTCTCACTATTTGGGGGGGGGGTGTCATTTTTCATATATACTACTTATTAGAACATTAAATTTGTGTCTATCAGCCCCTGTCAATCTAAGGTTCAAATGGGGCCCAACAGATACTATAGGGTATGAACTCCCCTGCCCCAACCCTATTCTGAACTGCATTCCTCAGTGAGCAAATGGCAAAGCAGCATATTGAGTAGACAGGGCACTACAATTGAGGAATATATGGAAGATGTTAGACTTTAGACTGATTACTAGGAGACAATACAGAGGAACAGTACAGGGAGGTGCCAAGCTCTCAGGGCAAGATAAGGGAAGGCAGGAGAAGGCCTATTATTAGGAGAAAAGAAGCAGGAATGTGGCAAGAAAGGATGAGCCCAAATACTGATGGGTCATTCATTAAAAAGCAGAGCCGGTCCTGAAAGGCCAGCCCCTTCGTTGCCCTAGATTTTCCCTGTTGCCTTTGGTCCAAGAGGTACCTTGTCCCCTTGAGAAGAGGCAGTTCCTTGAAAGTCACAGTATGACCATGTTGTAGGGACAGACTAGTCAGGACACCAGATAGGAAACCAGGAAGCAGGGCTGGGGCTGGGGCTCAGTGGCGGAGCGCTTGCCTAGCATGTGTGAGGCACATGATTCTCAGCACCACATATAAATAAATTAAAAAAAAAAATAAAGATCTATTGACAACTAAAAAAATATATTAAAAAAAAAAAAAAAGAAAACAAAAAGAAAAAGAAACAGGAAGCAGGCTTATTTGATTGCAACCAGGTTCAGAAGGCAAAGTTTTCACTGCAATCAATCAATCCCCCTGAACCCTGAGTTCAGGCAGTTTCAGAACTTTATACCCAGTGTGTAAGGGGAGGGGCTCAGAAGTTCACAGTATGCGGAAGTTCACACAAAAGCAGCTCTTTATTTCACTGTTCTAGGCAAATTAACCCTTCAAGGACAGTCAGAATGACAAGGGAGAGCTTCTTCTCCCCTTTCTTCTCTCCTCCTGCCAGTTACCAAGGAGCCCAATTAGTAACATCTTCTCTTCTCTTTGAAATGTAAACATCTCTGTGAAGCTCCAGGCCCTAAGGCCTCTGGCCCAAGAGGCCTCATTAAAAAATCTGTCTTCCTTATCACACTCAGCATTTGCAAACACACTTCCCACTTGAAATCTTTTACAAACTAATATGTATATTGTTACTATACTAGAAAGTCCATAAATATTTGTGGAAAAACTAGTAAAAGGGCATTCAGCACCTGGAATGCTAATCTCTTTCAGGCCCCTGGCCAAATTTATTAATTTTAAGATAGAGCAACAGGAAATGAGAAGCTTAAAACTACAGTTGAACTCTTTTGCAGAGATCCTTTTGCTGATAGTCCTGAGATCAATTATGGTGAAGCTTTCTGGAGAAGCTTCATTAAGATTTTCTGTGGAGGAGGGGGGTGCCACTACAACCAGGGAAGGAATTCCTTCCTTTACTCAAAGGCTCAGCCTTTAGGAGTGCAAAAGGGCTCAGCTGATCAATGCACAGGGAACCAAAGCTTTATTGCTTATTCCCCCAGAGGACCATTTCTACACCATATGGATATAAACAGCAACATTAACAAAGCCTCTGGCCTCTAACTGGAGCAGCATCACATGCATTCATTAAGGATTCCCCCAGCACAATGGAGTGACTGGCTAGTAATATCCCCCTCCCCCGCATAAGCAAATCCAAAGATTGCATCCTCACTACTTCCTTGGCCAAACAAGAATATACATAGTGCACCATTAGCATCTATTACAGCGCATGTGTGCTAGTCCAAGTTTGCTGCAGGCAAGCAATGAATGGATTTTCAAGCAGCGATACACTTTAAAAAGTTGTATAAGTCATCCCTTCCCCCCATTCCTCCCACCCACCTACTAGTTTTTTCCATTAGGCCTGCCTTTCTCCCTTTGAGCATGATGGAGCCATTCACTCCATAACTTTTCACCTTAACAATTTTAGTACTGAATAGGTCTCTTAGATTTCAATATCCTTCCCATGCCTGTAAAAGCTTGCCACCACAGTACCCAAAGACAGCCCTCCATCTAACCCCAGACGGCTTCCCAGGGTCTCATTCTACTCAGCAAGCGAGTTCTAGGCCTGTGTCCAGGAAGATCTGCAGCCGGGGAATCTCCTCGTTCAGGACAAGTGCGGCGGGGGACTCCAAAGAGGACGGTTCCTTAGGCTTAGGAGTGTCTTCCAAGCTCTGCAGTAGCGACAAAGCCTTAGGCAAAATAAGGCAAAAAACAAAACTCCCAAAGTCCAGGTCAGCCAGAGCCCCTGGGTGCCAAACAATATAACCCAACAGACGTCCGGACATCTGCTGAGCGCTGGTGTCCTCCCTCCACCCGCCTCAACTCTGAGGCACAGCTGGCTCCTCTTCTGGGCGATGCAGCATTTACAGGGCTCCAGTCCAAGCAGGCCAAAGCATCGACTCTCCCCAGGAGACCCTCTTCGGAGGGCGGCTACCCAAATTTGGCTCTGCAGGAAGACCTGGAGCCTACCCATGGATTTGCAGACAGTGCAATAACGGAAAACGACGAAGAGACTCCTAGGCTGAGGGAGAGGGGCAAGGAGGTCTCTACTTTCCAGACTCCCCAAGCCCACTACCCTAAGCCCATCCATCCATCCAAGGGGCCAGAGAGGATGAGGCAACCCCCATGGCTCGGGAACAACCATTCCCCAAAGGAAGAACATTCTCTTCCAGGTGGACCAACAAATTCTAGGTAGGGATAGCTCCTCAAATGACACCACAATTGAGCGCACAAAGTAGGATTCAGCAACAGACTCCCAGTAAAGTTAGAAAAGATATTCTGGTACAAAATGCTCTCCTCCGTATTCTGGTGATTGCATTTATCGGTCATCAGTTTATCTTTACTCACTGGAAGAAGAGATGAGGAACAAACAGGTCCAGAGACCGATATCTAGACAAGTACTAGAGAATGCTCCCCCAAATCACCAGATGACGCGTCTCACCTATTTTCATTCCCACCCATCCCTCCAAGCCTGCCCCACTCAACCACTGAGCCACATCCCCAGCCCTATTTTGTATAGAAGTCTCGGAGACCTGAATGTTTGAATTTAAAGACTCAAATGGAGGTCGAGGGCACCGCCGCGGACGAGGTGGTACCCCCGTCCAGAGAGGCGTTCAGGTCTCTGGGCCCTCCCGCGTCCTCTCGGAGCAGATCCAGCCCCGACCTCCTGGGGCGACCACCCAGATGCCTATGTAGGGAAGGCGAGGACGTCTCGTGGCGGACGCCGGAGGCTCGCCCCGACCTCTGAGGAGGAAATCTGGGGAAAACTGGGGCAGCAGCCTTGGTAGACCAGTTCGGGAACGCAGGGTGGTTTTCTTGGGCGCGCCTTGGGGATGGGGTCTGCGCTAGCACGCAGTGGACCGCGCTCGGGACACACCCCTGTGCACAGAAATGAGAAGAAGGGGAGGGTGGAGTGCGAGGAGGGGCACCGCAGCTGCGGCTCCACCCCTGCCCCAGGCCACCCAGCCCCGCCCCCTTCCGAGAAGCCCCCTTCCTTTCCCCTCCCTCCGCCTGTCTGGAACTTTTGTTGTCTGACGCAGCAGAAACTACTCCCACCCAAATCGGGAGCTGTTTCCATGGCAGCCAGCTCGGAAGTGGGGCCAGTGGAGGAGTAGGAGAAAAGCCAGAAGCAAACAAGTGTGTGTGAGTGGGAGAGAGATGCACGTCTGCTTTGGATCCCAGTTCTAAGAGTGACAACTGGGATTTTAAGGAACAGATAGAGAATTGGGAATCAGATCCTGGCTCTGCTGTCCTCTAGTTGTGTGATCCTGGAATGGTATAAACCTCTCTGAACCTCAATTTTCCGTACTTGAGTGAAAGGGTTGTTTGATTATGAGGGCTAATGGATGTGAAGTTCCTATACAGTTACTCATTCAGAGAACAATCATTGGGCAAACGAACCTAGCTCCCTTGTGCCTGGGGCTGCTCTAGGTGCCAGTGAGCAGGCAAAGCCAAAGTATCTGCCCTCTAGCAATGTACATTCTTAATGTCAAGGAGATAAGAAATAGTAAATAAACAAATAGATCAGATCATTTCAGACACTGGGAGGTGCTTTAAGAAAATAAAATTGGTAGGGGTAAGGGTGTTGCTCAGTGGTGGAGTGGTAAAGCACTTGCCTAGCATGCACAGAGCCCTGGATTCAGTCCCCAGTGCTGCCAAAGGAAAAAGAAAAAGAAAAGGGAAAGGGAAAAAAACTGAGGAGGGAGATAGAGGTGGTGAATGAGGGGGTAAAATGACCAGGCAGTTAAAATGTCTACCAGTTAGCCTCCATTCTACCACAACTGGAGGCTAACTGGTAGACATATTAATGAGCGCCATCAAGGCCTAATTCAAGTGTAAAAGGCTTTGAAGCTCCCCTGTGGGAATACCTCCAGCCAACTCCTTTGTCCCAGAGGTAGAAAAGGGAAGGTCGGGGTGAACCCAGATGAAGTTATTGGAGGGAAGGTGGGGGTGAACTGAATGGAAAGAACAATGATCGCCCTGATACCTTCTCCGTGCCTGTTTAACAGTTTTTGCTCCTCTGCCCAGAACCATATATAAACTCCTAAACTGGCACACCAAAATGGGTTTTTCTGCTCTTAGGCCCCCTCCCACAGGGCGGGAGTTCTATCTCTTCTTGCTTAAATAAATCTGCTCCATTTACTCTTCCCTTCCATGATTGTCCATGCATTTTATTCTTCAAAATTTGCAAGACAAGAACCCAAAGGGAGTTGGTGAGGCAGGGGATATAGTCTCATCTCTAAACTCTGGTTTCAGTGGTTGTATGTACCACTCTAATTAGGATGAGAGGATCTTCCTGAGGGGGTGACATTTAGGTCAGACCTTTGCTCACAGACATCCTTGCTATTTGGAGTACTGCTGTGAGTTTGGACCTTACAAATACAAGAATTTTGATAACAATGTTAGGGGACATAGGTGCAAATAGTGGGAACACAAGATTAAGACAATAATTCTATAAAATGAGCCCACTGTGCTACTCTCATGCTTTCTTTTCCAAGAAGCAATTGAACTGCAGCCCTACCTTGCCTAAGTGGACATGCTGTGTCACATTCTTCAGTAAACTACCTGTTATCTGCAGGAGAAATGCAGGCCCGAAATAATGTCAAGAAGAAGAATGCAAGTTACTCTAAAGGGGGAACTTTTGTGACTTTTTTCATGAACCAGTTCCTGAAACTCAGGGAGATAAGGATAATTCCTCCTAACCATAAAATCTGTAAGAATTTATGGTTATGAATTCAATTAGAACCAGTGAGCAGGGGCCCCGGGTCAGAGTTGTCATGGCAGTGGGAACTTGAAAGTCTGATGTCATCCTTTTGTCAGTCAAAAGTCAAGAGGTGGACCTGGGCAGGACTCTCTGGAAACTTCTCTGGGACCCCAATAAAACTGGAGTGCAGGAGAAGTAGACAGTCCCTCTCCTCTGAGAGGACCCATTTTCTCCCTTGAAAGTGTCCTCCTTTCCCTTTTCTATCCCTTCGATAGACTCATGCCTGTTACTTTGAACAACATGTCTGAAATCTTTCTGACTTGATCATAAGAATCAGGTTTGGGAGGGAAGTGTCTTTGTGCTGCCTCAGTTTCCTGAAAGGCCCCAGCTCTGTAACAACAATCTCTATATGTCTCCTTCCATACCCATTTCCAATCTTTTTTGGGGGGGCGGGGGCAGGTACACGGGATTGAACTCAGGAGCACTCAACCACTGAGCCACATCCCCAGCCCTATTTTGTATTTTATTTAGAGACAGGGTCTCACTGAGTTGCTTAGCACCTTGCCTTTGCTGAGGCTGACTTTGAACTCTTGATTCTCCTACCTCAGCCTCCCAAGCCCCTGGGATTACAGGCATGCACCACTGTGCCCACTTCTATTTCCAATCTTCATATCCTTTTATATTCACACTGACAATCTCTTCTTGACCAAACTTTGGTCAGACTCCTCTGAATCCTCTTTCAGATGATGCCTACACTTTATGACTTCTGTGTCCTTTGCCTTGTCTGATTTCACCAAGAATTCTGCTAAATCAGTGTAGCCAGAATGCCACACTCTCAATATCTGTTCATCCTGAATATCTGATAAGATTATTCATCCCCCAGGTGATAGCTAATCACCCTAGCCTGCCTTCAGCAAGAATCTTGTTAGGTCAGTTTGAAAGGAAAGTGACCACAACACTCGGAGCAACCAAAAAATCTTTATTGCAGCAGTGCAACAAAGAGAAAGGAAAGAAGGAAAGAGAGAGAGAGAGAAAAGAGAAGAGATGAACAGGGAGAGAGCAAGAGCAAGAGAGAGACAGAGAGCGTGTGTAAGAAAGATAAAGAGCAAGAGAGAGAGAGAGCAAGAGAGAAAGAGCAAGAGAGAGGGGGGCCTGGCAGGAGGGAGTTTTTATAGCCCAAATCTAATGGGGCCTCTGGGTCTGCAAGCTGCCTTGTTGGCCCAAGGGGGGGTTAAGTGTTCAGCCTTGAGCAGCGTTGAATGTTCAGACTTGAGGCAAACAGGTGATAAAGGACCAGATAGAGGGGGGTTTGAGTGCGTGGGCTATCTTGCAGCCGACATTTGTTCAGCCTGCCCTGCAGACAACACAGTTCAGCCTGCTCTGCACCCAACACAGTTCAGCAAAGAACCACTGGACTGGACTGACCAGGCAGCCTCGCCCAGGGACACTGCCTAGATCCCAGCTGGCCTGATTCACCCACCTGCCCACATAAGAAATAGTGCCAAAAGTGAAATGAACTTTAGGCAATTTCATGAAACTGGGGAGAAGCAGCTAGATTGCTTCTCCACTGATGTCACAGAAGAGGTTATAATTTGTAGAAGCAAAAGCTAGGTGATATACATATATAGGTTGAGCTAGACTGTGCTTAGCTACAGAATATAACACAGTTTTACTTTCCTTGGCCTCTGTCATCAGCATGAGGAGGTTTTTATTCTCATCATGAGGAAATTCAGGAGCTCTCTGTTTCATTAGGCCATTTTGTGCTGCTATAATAGAATACCACAGACTAGGTGATTCATAAAAAAATTTTTTTTCTTATTTATTTCAGATCTAGAAGCTGAGAAGTGTGAGACTGAGGAGCTGTATCTGGTGAGGGTTTTTTCGCTCCACCATTCAATGATGGAAGGCATCACATAGGGAGAGAGTGCTCCAAAGAGGGAAGAAGGGGGCCTGAACTCATCTTTCTTTTTTTCTTTTTTTGGTACTGGGATTGAACCAAGGGGCACTTAACCACTGAGCCACATAACACCTTTTTGTATTTTATTTAGAGACAGGGTCTTAACAAGGTGCTAGGGCCTCGCTAAGTTGCTAAGGCTGGCTTTGAACTCGGGATCCTCCTGCCTCAGCCTCCTGAGCCACTGGGATTACAAGTGTGTACCATGGCACCCTGTTCCTGAACTCATCTTTCTATCAAGAAACTACCCCCTTGATAACTTATCCACAACAATTATCTGTAGGGACCTCACTCCCATGAAAAGAAGCATCCCTTAAGGTTAAAGGAGTAAAACACCCAAGGAGTGAATGAGATATAGGCAGCCCCCACCCAAAAAGGGCAAATGCTTTCTTAGCTTGTTAGCTGATGAGAGAGTGGTGTGTGCCTTTCCCTAGTCCCTCACTCTCTCACTCGTCTTACTGCTCCAGAAATCAGGTGCATCATAAAACCAGATGCTTGCACCTTGACTCTGCAAGGACAAACAACATAAAGGGTAATACTGTTGAGGGATCACTGAAACAGCCAATTCTCTGGACCCTTAATCTGTTATTTGCATGGTTTGTGTTTTCTTCCGCTCCCCACCTGTGTTTCCTTAATAGCTGCAGACTCATCCTTATCCCAAGGCAAAGATGAATATACAGGAAGAGCTGTGACATTTGGCTTCAGACTGAACACCCTTCCACAAAGAAAACACCTTAGAAAATGTGCCCAAAGCCAATCAAAATTCCTAGACCCTAGCTCATCCCTATAAGCAACCCTTTCGCATGAATAAAACAGGCTCTCTCCTTTGTCCAGGGAGCCAGACTGTCACTTTATGGTCAATGCTATTTCCCCTCTGCTCCAGCTAGAATTCCCAGTAGAGTCTTGTCCCTGTCACCGTTGTGCCTTTGTCTGATTCTTCTGATGGAGAGTACAAAAAAGCCACTGAGCCGATAATGCCAAAGTAATGACCCAGTGCTCATGGCCCAGTTACCTCTCAACACTATTGCTTTGGGGATTAGTTCCCAGTAAATAGTTAGTTCCCTCTTTGGAGGGAAAAATTCAAACATGGCACCTACCTTTTTGATAATTTTCCATCCAATGACCTACCCCAGTTCATACAAGTCCCACTCTGTTCCTTGGCTATACATCAAAGTTGGACCCAATTTTTCTACCCTACTATAAAACCCCATTAAATCCTAAATAAAGTCTGTCTTTCCAATTTACCAAGAGTCATGTCATTTCTTAAATATACATACCCTCACACACAGGGTTTTTGTTTGATTTATAAAATAGGGTTAAATGTAAAAGATCTACCCTTGCCTCCCAATTTCTCTAACCCCTTTCCATCTGCTCCTGCCACGGGGTCTCCTTAACAGACACGCTTCCATCTTTTCTACTATTTTCTCTGCCTGGAACGTTCTTTCCTCCATAGCCACAAGACCAACTCCCTCACCTCCTTTAAGTTTGACTTGAATCTTGCATTCTCAATCAGGCATACCCTCTCTAATATATTCCACCCCCATACTCTTGATTCTCTCTACTCTACCCTAATTATTTCCATTTTCAAACTCAGAGCTCTATTTCCATGCGAAGCACACACTTCCACTGATGTATAAATGTATAAATCACTGACGCATTTCACATGCCTTAGGGGAGTCCCCGGCATATGATGATACTCAACAAGTCATTGAATAAATGAATATATATACATAATTTATATCATGGTAACCAGCAGTGCTTCTAGTTATGAATATATATAATTTTCCTTGTTATATTTGGAATTGGGCCCCATTTTTTCCCCCAACCATAAGACCCCACGGTAGTGGTCCCTGTACCTATCTTGATAGCCCTGGATGTGGATTCTATATACTTAGTTATCCCTGTTCCCTCCCGAAATCCCAGTAAAATATCCATAAAGGAATAAAACAAGTACAGTCCCAGAGTAATGAGAACTATGGAAAAATACAAGAAGTGAAGAATGTCAATACAAAATTTGGAAGATGGTAAGCAAATATAAACTCTGCTGTGGCAGAACAGGGAAAGCTAAGCCTGAGCCTGCAGAGTTTCAAAAGAAACCTAGGGGCACTTAACAATTTGTACTGCAGGACCCAGGAAAGATCAGGACCTGGAAGTGAGGGGTCTATCCCACATGGGCACAGAGATGCCAAAGGTAGCAGGATTTGTTCAAAGTCTGGATTAGGAGCAGCCAGGAGTTAGGCCCCTAGACCTCTCCCATCCTTACCAGCACTGTGGCTCCCCTAATCCTGCAGAAGGCTTCATGAATGTTGAGTCTCTTTAGGGGCTGAACCAGTCAGTCTCTGGATTCAGGAAAATCAGCCACAAATTAGACAGCAGAGTGAGGCCCTGTGCTGTAAAGAGTGCAGGGCTTTATTGAAGGTTGACATCCTCCCATTGGGACAGACAGACACACACACACATACACACACACACAGAGGCACCATTCTTCATTAGACTCTCATGGTGCCAGGATTATAACCTAAGCCATTCTACTCCTCCCTGCTTACCCAAGAGGAGAATCAAAAGCACATGTCCAGCTTTATTAAGGTACAATTGACATACAATATATTTGATTGTGGAGAGCCATTCTCACGCGTGACTGGGTGACTCCCGGTTTGGGCCTGAGGCTTCTGGCTGTGTTGGAATTTTCCCGGCCCTCTCCTGATGAGAGAACCCGTCTGTGTGGGGGTGTTACTGACCACTGACCCCGGGGGCCCAATCACTGACCCTGACCTTGGAGTGCGGCCCCCCCCTCAACCTTCATTGGATGGAATTCTCCCCTGAATTTCTTGTTCCCCAATAAAAGGCTACTCCCTGGCGTGCTCTCTCTCTCTCTCCTGCTAGCCCTGAGTAATCCTTGCTGCCCTACGGGTGGTTCGAGGTTGGAGCCAGAGAGGGGAGCCGTCTCGGACCTGGTCATAGAAAAAGGTAACTGAGTCTGTGTGTTTATTTCCATCTCTGCTAGCTAACTTTTGTGCCAAGAACCTCATTAATGAAACCAATGCGCAGGCCGCATGGTGGATTTGATGTTTGACGTGTATACAGCTGTGAATCCACAAGATTTCCTGGGAGCAAGATGTTGGTTTACCAAGGATAGAAGAACCCCAACTGGGGCTGGGGATGTGGCTCAAGCGGTAGCGCGCTCGCCTGGCATTCGTGCAGCCCGGGTTTGATCCTCAGCACCACATACAAACAAAGATGTTGTGTCCGCCGAAAACTAAAAAATAAATATTAAAAAAAAATAAGAACCCCAATTGCACTGGAAGATTTTGTCCTGCCACTAGGATGATCATACTGAACAACTATCTAAGGGCTCAGGTTGGTTCTTCCCATTTTCTTTTCTTTTCTTTTTTTTTTTTTTATGGAGGTAGGGATTGAACCTAGGGGCACTTAACTACTGAGCCACATCCCCAGCCCCTTTTCTATTTTTTATTTTGACACAAGTCTCGTTAGCTTGAGGAAGCTGCTCTCAAACTTGCAATCCTTCTGCCTCAGCCTCCTAAGCTGTTGGGGTTACAGGTGTGCACCACAGCCCTTTGTCCCTTTTCTATTGCTATAACAAAATACCCAAGGCTGGGAACTTTATAAAGAAAAGAGATTTCTTGTGGCTCATACTTCTGAAGAGTAGATGGGCAATTGCCCTTGGAGAGGGCCTCTACTGTGTCACAATGTGGTGAACCATATCATGATGGGAGCAAGTGTGAGAGGTCAATAGCATGAGAAAGAGAAAGGGAATGAAGGGGGCTAGATGGCTACAATAACTTGCTCTCTCAAAAAATAATCCAGTCCTTTGAGATCTACCACACTCCCAAGAGACAGGCATTAATCCCTTCAGAAGGTGGTATCCCATGACCTTGGAAGTCTCCCCCTGAAAGTCTCTACCACCTCAACATTTCAGTGGGGGGAATTAAGCCTCAATGTGAGTTATGGTGGGGACAAACCTCAGTACATAGTGTCACTTCTTGATTTCCAACTAAGTCTCTTGCCTAGTTTCTCATGTAGCTACACTCGATTTCTAGTTATCCACTGTTCCAGTTATTATGGCTGTATAACAAAGCATCCTAAACTTTAGTGGCTTAAACAATGACAAGATTCCACACAGACACTGCAAAATGGGAACTTGTCTTAGTTCCACTCAAATTAGATGAAGAAACTCAAAAGCTGGGGGCCTGAGTCATCTAGAGGCTGCTCATTCACATGTCTGGTGGCTGATGCTTGCTGTGAGTTGAGATGTTAGCTGGGCTACTGGCTGGAACACCTGCACAGTTCCCTTACAACATGGTGGTTGGGTTCCAAGGGTGAGCATCCCAGAGAGTCAGGCAGAAGCTGCACCCTTTTATGATTAAGCCTTAGAAGCCACATTGCATCCTTTCTACCATATTCTAATAGAGCAATCATGCCCCCAGTCCAGATCCAAGGGGAGGAACTTAACCCCCCACTTCTCAGTGGTTGGTAGGTCAGTCACTTTGCAAGAAGAATATGTGACATATGTATTGGAGCAACCATCTTTGGCAAATGCAATATATTGCATCTTTGAAACCTTTCCCCCTTGCATATTAAATGCCCTTGACCCAGGAGTTCTTAGTAACTGAGTGCAACCAGCAGGTTAGCTCTTTGCCATCGTCCCACTTAGAAGAGAGTGTCTGGCTCTCTTCCGATTTGTTGGTTCCCAAGAGATACGTATGATCCTTCAGAATCTCAGGTTATGTACTTTGAAGACACCTCTGACAATTTTGACCAATGAGTAGGTCAGAAAAAAGCAACTTAGACCCCAATGATGGACCCAAGACACATTCCAGGGAGACCTCTATGAGTCAAGAAACCAGTCCATGGCTGATCTCAGGGTGAGTTCATTCACTCACATCAAGGTCCCATTTAGAAGAAGAGGGCCACCGCTATTCCCAGGAGGGCCTGTCTGGGAGGCTTTCTGGCTGCATTTCATATTGTTATCAGCTTATCCTGGTCCATCTTCCTGGCTTCTTTTTTCTTTCTTTTTTAAATACAGCAGTCAGTGGGTATTAGGTAGAGTCGGAAAATGACTTCCTCAGGATGAAGGTGATGGTATAGTAAAGTGGTAGAGATGACAGGAACAAGTGCAGGATCATTTTTAACCATAGTGGGAAGTTGGAGGGTGTTTCAGGATTGTTGGGTTTAGATGAATTCAATGTAGATTAATTTTCTTTTCAAGGTGGGCTACTTGAAACATGGAGATGTCCACATGACCCTGTCAAAGAACTCATTCAAGAGTTGTGGATTTCATGCTTCCGTTGAGTCAGACACCTGCTGGGGTTGTGGAAGCCCATACTGAGGTCCATGCTTTTTTTGCAGGAAAAAGCAGGCAGAGAAGAGGTTCCCAGGGTCAAGGGCCTTCTGGAGTCTGTGGGTAATACTTACTCCAATGATGGGTTAACTACAAAGTTAAACTTAGAGTTGTGTATATACTCTGGTCTAGGCCCTAATCCTGGAGCGGGGGAAATAATAGGGTCCTATGGAAACAGTCATCACCTGTGCTCTGGTGGACTCTACAATCATGGGGTTCTACTGAGTGCAACCGGCAGGTTAGCTCCAGGAAGGTAGGAACCCAGAGGAGGGGAGCTGGAGAGAGACACTGCCAGAGAGAACTTGAGGGCAAGAGGCTGGCACTGGTATTGATGCTGGACTATTATTCAGGAGACCAGCTCTGTTCCTGGTTTCCTAGCAACTGCTGTTCAGCAGGTGGTTGCTAAGCAATATGGGGCCATCCAGACAGTTGGGTAAGGACCTTAGTCTTGTGGCCACCAACCAGAATATCACAGGGTTCACCTATTAATTGATTTTACTGTACAACACACACACACACACACACATCAATGGTACACAAGATCTAGAAAAATGAGAAAGAGGTTACCTATGAATTCAACATCCAAATAAGGTAAAAATTACCATCTTTACTCTTTCCATCCCAGTCTTTCTCTGCAGGAGCATTATTTTCTTTTTATTGTCCTTTTAAATCTTGTGTTTGGATGATTTCAATGTAGATTAATTTTCTTTTTGACTTTAATTTGGATTATCACAAGAATCCCTCAAGCCACATATGAGTTTTCAGGATACTCATCTCTGATGACTGGTTGACTCATGCAGTAGCCACAGTTTTGTTTTGTTTTTCCAGATCTCAGGATGGAAACCATATTACACCCCAGCCCTGGCTGCAGCATCATCTAATTAACTATTCTCCTCTTGTTCCGACAATGAGTTTGCTTCCTTTTTTTTTTTTTTTTTTGCCATGATGAACAGTACTGCAATATGCATCCTCTTGCAGACAGCTTTTCTTTCTTTTAGATCATTGCATCAAAATCAATATTAAGGGATGGGATGATTATATAAAAGGACATGAATATTCTCATGACAGTCTGTCTTGTTTGCTTCCCTCACAGCTGGTTTCCGTTTCCTTCAGAATGAGAAATGGACTGATTGTACCCCACCTGCAAAGTATTGACATTTCTTCACTTGTTAAATGGGAAACTGAGACCCATTGGAGAGAAGGAATTGGCCCAAGGTCACACAGAACTAGTTCTAGGTCCCTGGTCTGACTCCCCTCTTGGACATCAGCACAGACACTTCCATCACTGAGTTTGGATCAAGTCAGGAAGGTTCTATGTGCCTCCTCATCTATCTACCAGCTCTTATTGCACAGTGCAGGCTATAGTGTAATTCTTTTCTCAACCAAACATTTTGAGAGTGTGTTTGTGTTGAAAGATAGAAAAATACTTTATAAGTCCTGTTTGAAGGAGAGGATCCTTGGGGATAGTTAGACCAGTCACTACTGACACAAATCCCAAGCCCTTTTACTTGGACTGGTGACTTAGCTGGTCTCATAACTAATCAGAACAACCCATCGCTGGATGTGGTGGCACATCCCTGTAATCCCAGCGACTTGGGAGGCTGAGGCAGGAGGATTGCAGGTTCAAAGCCAGCCTCAGTTTTTAGCATGGCTCTAAGCAGTTTAGTGAGACCTTGTCTCAAAATAAAAATAAAAAGGGCTGGGGATGTGGCTCAGGGGTTAAGCACCCTTGGGTTCAATCCCTGATACAAAAAAATAAAAGAAAAAAAAAAGAACAACCTATTATATTATAGAAGTGTGGTTGCAACAGAGTTTGGAACCAGGCCCCAAGTCCCTTCATTAAATAACGTTTATTGAATGTTGCAATGTGGCAGGCCATATGGATATAGCTACAAATAAGGACCACTTAGTTCCTAGGGTTATGGAGCTCATGGTCATTTGCAGGCAGTGAATGGAGCGATAAGGCAGAGTAAGACAATTTTTATTTATTTATTTAATTATTTGTTTGTTTATCTATCTATCTATCTATTTTTATGTGGTGCTGAGGATCCAACCTAAGCCTTCAGGAATGTGAGGCAAGCATTCTGCCACCGAGCTACAATCCCAGTCAACAAAGGTCTTGATTTACAAGACCTTTGAAATAGACCGTTTTTATAGTTTGGGGAGAACAAAATATATCTCTATGGTTCTTTACAACTTTGTGGCAAAATATACATAAAATACAATTTACCATCTTAACTTTTTTTCCCTCTGCCTTGGCATTACTTGGGGTCAAACCCAGGGCACTCTACTACTGAACTGCATCCCCAGCACTTTTAATTAATTAATTTTTTTTGGAGGTGGGGGAGATACTGGGGATTGAACTCAGGGGCACTCAACCATTGAGCCATATCCCCATCCCTATTTTGTATTTTGTTTAGAGACGGGGTCTCGCTGAGTTGCTTAGCACCTTGCTTTTTTGCTAAGGCTGGCTTTGAACTCACTATCCTCCTGTCTCAGCCTCCCAAGCTGAGGTGATTTACAGGAGTGCCCCACCACACTCTACCGTGACTTATATTAAACGTCTCTTGCATGGCTTTTGGTGTCTGACTTTAAATTTTCTTTTGTCAAAACACAAGAACCGAGTAAGATTTGGAGTTTCAGCTTCCTGCTTTCCTGTGATAGTGGTACACACCTCCAGCTACTCAGGAGGTTGAGACAGGAGGATTACAAGTTTGAGGCCAGCCCTGAGCAATTTAGCAGACCCTGTCTCAAAATAAAATAAAAAGGACTGGGGATGTAGCTCAGTGCTAGAGTACTTGTGTAATGTATGTGAGGGCATGGGTCTGATCCCCAGTACCAAACAAACAAACAAAATTCACCTACTTTATGTAAGTCAGTTAATTTTAGAAAATGTA